ATTATTATATGATCTTTTCCCACTAATCCAAGTGGAAAATATTGATATTTTGACAGAGTTCGTGGTAGGCCTGTAACGTGGCAGGTGACTGTCCACAATCAATTTCTTATTGAACGATCTGTATCTCGATTCCCGCGAGTATTACGCTGCAGAATTACGTGAATGGGCCACGGGATCCGAGGTCTCTGCGGGGGTTCTGCCGAAAAATCGGTCATCGTTTGGAAGAAAAAAAAAAAAAAAAAAACGTCAATCCACGAGTTACGCTCGACACTCGTCCAGTTTCAATTTCTCAGGACAAATTTGATATCGTTGCTCAGAGAAAAGAACTCGTATCCAAAGGAACATCGGACAAATGTATCGAAAGAATCTCGAAAGAATCTTTATTCGCATAATTGTCCCGATATATTAATACATCCGTCCCGAAAATTCGTCTTCGTTTAAATCCTATTCCATCACTCGTTCTTGCTCGCGTATATAATGTATATATAATAATATCCTCGAATGCAAATTTCGAGGAAAATTTCTGGAACCAGCTGCGTGACACTGGAAGAAGAGGTGCGCGTTGGGGCTGACTCCCGTGGGGCTGATTCGAGATGATGACCGGCAGGATCGGTCCGCCGCGGAATCCACTCGAGGAGGATTCCGATTCAGGATTCCGTCCCAGCTGAACATGACTTTTTCCTTCGTGGCGATTCTATCTGCTCCCGCGCGATCAATCACTATCAATGGCGTTGGTTGTCGCCGTGGGTAGAGGGATTTGTTCGTTCACGGGCTGGGATTCCGCCCGCTCCAGTATAATAAGCGTAATAAGAGAGGCGGACGGTGGCGGTGGCTGTGGCGAAGTCGATCGAATTTACATTACGATGGATGGAGAGGGGGGGGGGAGGGTATTCGATGGATTCGAATCGGTAGTCCGACGACGAAAAGCGCGGCGCAGGCGAGATCCCCGATAAAAGATCCCCGGGGACGATAATCCACGGCGGAGGATTAACACCAGCGAGGATCCATCCGAGGAATCCAATTAACATCAAAACGTTGGACGACAAGTGTCTTTTCCCTCCCCGATCGATCAGAAACGGGAGAAAGGAGGCGTGTAACGCCTCCTCGGTCGAGGCGAAAGTGCTTAACCTACCTACCTACCTACCTACCTACCTACCTATCTATCTGTGTCTATACACACACGCGCGCGCGCGCGTGCTACATCTCTCGACGGGGAAAAAAATTCCACGAGATCGCGAGTGATTCGATCGACGAAGATCGCCGATAATACCCTCTAACCCCTGAAACGCGGTGTGCGCGACCGCCGGATCCTCGGTCGGGGTGATTCATTGACTTGGCAAAGTCGGTGACTTTCACCGGTGATTTACACGAACGCCTCATAAGCGGCTTGCCTCAGTTTCAAATTCCCTCTCTCGCTCTCCCTCCCTCTCTCTCTCTCTCTTCGTCAATGAACTTTGTCTTACGAGGACTGGTTGGAGAACGGAAAGGGAGGCGTGCTAGTAGAAGGTGAAGGGATGAAAAGGAGTTGGAAAGGAGATGGAAAGGAAGAGGAGAGGGGAGAGGGAGAAATCGGGAGCGAGAAAGAGAGAGGGGAAAGGTCGGAGAACGTAGCAAAGGTTATTTGCACCGAGTTGTCTTTTTTCCAGCGCTTTTTGTTCGAACCGTTTGTCGAACGGCTCAGCCGGCTGATCTTCGGGATGATGAGCATGAACTACATTCTATATAAAACCTGGGAGTACTTTAAGCCTCGTACGAATGCGCTTTCGCGGTGTGCCACGCGGGACGCCGAGCCATCGATCGCTTAACGAGAATCGCCCTTCGTTGATTGTGTATGTCCGAAGATTTCCGGCAGCAGAAAGGGAGGGAGGAAGGGGGCTGATCGTCACGCCTCGAAATCCGTTGTTATCCTTCTTCCACCGGGACGCACGGGATCGGGATCTTCACGCTTCTATTTAAATAGGAAATCTGAAAAAAAAAAAAAAAAAAAGAGGAGAGAGTTTCGATTCGAGAATCGTGCTTGTGTTATTTTTTTCGAGTGTCGAGTGAGAATTGTGTCTTGGATGGGGATATCTGGATCTGCGAAACCAAGCGAAGAAAAGTAGTTTAGCGCACGAGTGCGGTTTCTTCATTTTTTCCCCCCTTTAATTTCTTTTACAATTTCACAAATTTAGTAGAGGAAAGATTCGAAAGATTCGAGATCTTCGTTGCGCGAAAAGTTGACAGATATATTTTGGATAGCGGAAAATTGCGATCAAAAGTTCGTGAATTTTGTCGTGAAACGTAGCACGTTTCCAAAATTTTGAGAGGATACGAATGACTTTGAATCGCGGACGAAGGGATTCTGTCTTTCCTTGAATTAATTAATTCTTTAAACGGGAGGGGGTGAGACAAACTACGAGATAATCCCTCGTTTTTTTTACTCCTATTTTCGATCGATGACGCGTGCAATAATCTTTAAGTGCTGCGTTACGCTAATTAAATCGATGGGACGGAGTGCAAGGGATAACAAAGTGAAGGGGAAAGATGATACGCGATGATAAGTGGACGATGAAAAATGTTCCAATTCCGGTTTCCGTTTTCCATTTAGGGGATGAACTTTGATTTTTCTCGACGAAACCCGACCGAAGCGACGTTCGACGACGTTCGAAGCTTAAGCTTCAAAGCTGTTAGCGAGATTTGTATATCGACGTTTTATTTATCAAGATGTATATAACGAATACATATATATACATAAAACAACATTATATATGGAATAACACTATCTCTCGCGTGCGATCAATTAATTAAACGCATCGATATAAATCTTTTTACCTTAATTCCTTAATAATAATACCCCACTCCTTGCTTCCTTACGATATTGACGCAATTAAGTATACCCACTTCTCGACGATTTCAAAAGAGCATTTCAATTCGAACAATTTACGCGAGAGAGAAAGAGAGAGAAAGCACGATTATAATTATCAGTTCTTTTTTCTTTTTCGGTCGATTGAAAGCGATCACGTTCGATCAACCATAATTTCTTCCATTCTTCACGCCACGCAAGGCTTCCGTAATAACATCGGCACGGTCAACGTTAGAAACCCCCATTTAGGTTGGATGGGAAGAAGCGTGGAACGGGGAACGAATCGCGAAGAAATGGAAATCTTTGTCCCCGCCCGTCAAAACACACCGGTTTCCCTCCCCCTCCCCCTCTCCGCCTCTCCGTGAACGCGAGCGGACGAGGAAAAATAAGAAACTTCGGTGGTCCAAGGCCGAGCGATTGTCACGTGGCGGCGAGCCGCGTCGACAAGTCAATTGGTCAATGAGGAAAATTGGCTAAGAATTCATGAATGGGCCGGCGTGAATAAAGTGGCTGCATGTTAGTATAGGTTTATGGAAGCAAGCCGGTTTTAGCTACGCTAATAGCATAGTAATGCTGGCTGATCTTTTCGAAATCCCGTAAGAGCATTAACCGCTCGCACGTGAGCAAGTTAAATTGCTATGTTGTGGGTATACGCCCAGCTATGTAGCTATCACCTGGCTACAGGGCGTAACGAAAGGAGGAGGAGGAGGAGGAGGAAGTGGAGGAGGAGGAGGAGGGTATGGCAGCCGATAGGATCGACGTTTCGAGAAAAAAGATAAACTGGCTCGCGCGTACGTCGAATACGGGGATCTCCTTTTCCGTCCCCTCTGCGTTAACGAGATTACAGAACTCGCGAGCGTTTCGACCGATACAAAAAAAGAGGCGTCAAAGAAGAGGTGTCGCGAACACGAAGCTCGATGAACGTTCGCGACCGACCAGCTTATCGCCTTCCACGCATAACGTACATCTTACCTGAACGAGATTCATTATTCGTCGCGTGGACAAAAATTCCTCCTCTCCGAATGAATCATCATCCCGACCCGCGACGAGACATTTCAACTCAACGAGTAAAATTCTCGCAAAATTAGACGCTTGAAATAATTGATTGCCTCCGACGTCGAGAAATCGATCGAATCTCGATCAAAGTCTTGATCGAATCATCCTCGAGGAAAGTAAAAATATATATATATATATATATACGTGATCGTCTCATGGGAGAATAGCCGGCAGATGTGCCCGTCCATTTCCTCCCGTTTAAAAATCTATTCGCGTATCTTTTTCGAATAGGTCGAAGAAATGGAAAGAAAGGAAATGGTGAAAAGGGGACGACGAATCAGGGACAGAGAGAGAGAGAGAGAGAGAGAGAGAGAGAGAGAGAGAGAGAGAGAGGAAGAGGAAACTCGGAGCTCGGATATATTTTTAGAGACGGACTGTACGTAACGTGGTGGTGAGGAAACGTTGCCATCGCGGCTGGTTAGGTTGGTTGGCGCGGCCCGTACCGATTGGCTCCCCACCACTTCGATACGGCCTCGATGCCACATCCCCAGCCACGCCAACTTTCCACGAGCAGACGCTGTTCGGCTTTCCTCGACGATTGTGCTCTCATTTCCACTTTGCCCGATCGTAGCTTCGTTTCTCCCTCGACTACCCTTACTCCTTTCCCAACCGAGCCACCGTCTCGCCCTCGCGTTCTCTTTCCCATTCTCTCCACCTCTTTTCCCTCTCGTTCCCCCCTCCCCCCTCCCCCACCTTCCGTCGCCTTCCTCCTCTTCCTCCTCCTCCTCCTCCTGCTCTTCCTTCTCCCCCCCCCCCCCCCCGCGCATATTCGACCGTATCACGCCGTCTCGTTTTTACTTCAACCCCCTGAACGCTGTCGTTCTTTCTCCACCACCCCCTCCCCCCTCCTTCTCCTCGCTTCGAGGAACTACCAACCCCCCTCGCCCGCCCATCCCTGCCCTTCCCCTTCCCCTTCCCCTCCCTCCTCCTGCTCCACCGATACACCCCATCCCTTCCGTGGTTGGATACCCTCCCCTCAGTCCCTCCCCTCGACCGGTTCGCGGTCCGGTCTCCTGCGAGCGAGCGCCCCCCTCGCGCATAACCCCTCGGCCAAGAGAGCGATCCGTAACAACTAAAGTTCTCGTGAAAAGTTGAGCTGGGCTCTCCTACGCCCTCCTGCTATAATAGCCGCGCTCACAGCTCTCTCTACCTACTACCACCGTCTATCCCTGTCCATCTGTCCCGGGTTTGTCCCACATCCCGCACACGGAACGCGCCGCCGAACGAGAGAGAGTGTGGGAGAGAGAGTGAGAGGGACAGTGCGACGAACCTGAACGTGCTACGTACACCAGGAGGAGGAGAGGAACAGAGATCGAACGTGGAACGTGGAACGTGGAAGAGTAGGAAAAGGGAGAAAAAAAGGACAAGGGGACGCGGCCGGATTAGGGAATAGAATAGTCATTATCGGTCTACATATTCGGTGTGATATACCCGCTAGTGCAAAACTCGTCGTGTAGCAGTAGCGGCGAGTGTAGCGGTGTGGTGCCGTGTGCCGACCGATCCGATCCGATCCGAACCGAACCGAACCGACCCGACCCGACCCGACCGACCGACCGACCGACCGATCGACCGACCGATCCGACCCGACCCGACCGACAGGGATTTCCTAACCTTTGTTTTCGACAGTGTCGTCGAGCCTCACAACTGCCGCGCACAACCGGCGAACCGGCCGTGCTCCGTCCAGCTCCACCGATTCCAGCCCCCCAAAGGATTTACCTCTACGCTTCTTTTCTCGCCCGAGAAAAACATCCCCGTCTGACGCCGCTCTCGACGCCATTCCCACGGGCACGGGTGAGTGTTAACTCGAGTGTGTTTAGTCCACGGAGAACGTCGTTCGTTTCGTCCGCGATCTCGTCCGCTTCTTCTATACTCTCGGCTTGGAAAAAAATTTCGCGAGTGTCTGAGATTCTCGTCGGTGGATAGGGTCGGTGGATAGTGAATATTCGCGCGTTCGTCGTTCGGGAGGACGTCGGAAATTTTCTTTCGGAGGAGGAAGGAAGGAAGTCGATGAAGGAAGTTTTTTCGAGAGGCGTCGATTTCTTCTTTTCCTCTTGGGGAGGATAAAAAGATACGCGTCGAGGACTACGTATCGTGCACGAATTCGTACGAAACACGTTACGGTCACCAAGAATCACCAAGTACGCGGCTATCGATCGGATGTTTATTCGTTTCGTAACAGTGACTGGGCTTCCCTTTACGAGTACATCGTAATTTGCGAGGTATAGCTTTGCCTCGCAAGGTGAACAACGATAATTCACCTAATGCGAATAGTATGTCGAAACTGAAGTAAGTCGTATTTCCTTCTCGACGTGTTCTTTCTTCTTTTCTTTTCTTTTCTTTTTTTTCAATAAACGGTGTTCGTAAGTAAGTTTGACGTGATCTGATTTCCTGAGTTCGAGAAATAATCGTGAAAAAAATCGCGAAGATAGTTTTCATCAATTTTTATACGAAGGTCGGGGGGAGAATTATCCGTACGATTACTTCTCGCGGTAAATGGGGGAGGGAGGGGACGGGGAAAAAAAAAAAAAGGAAAAAAAAAGGACGAGCGACGCAGGGGGGTCGCAGGGTTTGGGGAAAAGCCCGACCAACGGAATCAACCAAATTCGGACGCTGCGGTGCGCGAAAACCTCGAAAACGGCGGCATTTAATCGGCGAGGCGTACGCCGAGCTTTCATTCAACCAAAGAGAGAATATAAATCCGTGACGAATGTCCTGCAATATTCCCAAACAGCGAGAGAACTTTTTTTTCTTTTTTTTCTTTTTTTCAATTCGCGAGAAAAGACTCGGGGGAAAATTATCGGATCGTCTTACGAATACGACTTCGTAACGCGGTTGCAACGATTTCTAACGCTCCGTTCTTTTCTTTTCCTTTTTTTCTTTCCTTTTTTTTCACACTTATTTGTATTGTACACAACAGATATAACGTGCGTGTAATACGTAACGATATTGTCGCGACAAATGTATTATTTCGTGGAAAGCTTAGCAACGTTGTTGAAAAAAAATATCGCGAAAGAATATCGAATCACGACCGGTTTCGTGAAACCAACAGTTATAATTTACGATTGCTCTTTTTTTTATGGAATAATAAAAAAAGGGGGAAAAAGGAAAAAAGAACAGAAAGGAAGTTGTGTCGCGTCACAACGTTTTATTAATTACATCCGGTATCGAGAGTGCGGATAGTCGAATCCTCGTTGTCGATTCCCGGTTAAATAACCACGAAACGTCTATGTGAAAAATTTAATCCGCTCGCATTTTTTCCCTCCCTCGTCTCACTGTTTTATTAAGCGACTAAGTGAATCGCGTACATTTGAAACAAGTAGGTGTAACTTCTCGTTCGTTTTGGATTTCTGAAACTTTCCGAATCGTCAATTCGAGAATATACAACGACACTAATCGACGATAGAATTTATTTGTTCGAATAACAAATGCGCAAATTCGAACACGTCCAACTTGCGTATCCATTTCTTGAACTTTTGGCACGGTCGTCGAAGAAAATGATCGCTACTATAATAAAAGTTGTCCAAGAATATTGGAGATACACGATTCAAGAGTGATATAATTTGACCATTGAAAGACGAGATTCGCGTAATAAACTATCCGACAATTTAATCGAATACAAATTTGTATTCAACTGACGGGATTCAAACTGACGAAACTCTTATATTCTCTTGAGAACTTGAGATCGTAACAACACCACGTCGACGGTCGGCCATCGAAGGAAATTTAACGTGCAAGAAACCTTCTGTTCAACAAATCCAAACACGACACGATTCCTCGAGTTGCAATGAAATTTCTTTGTTTCGCACGATGATACGAAACTTGAACCACCACCGTGTCGCGAACACGAAAACTCGTCACAAGGATTCGATCGTGCAACGACACCAGCCGCGGTTATCGGAAGGAAATTTCGCACGAGCGTCTGCCGCGATTCCAGAGGACGATTCCGTGGCCCGAAACGTTTGACCGTGGTGGAGTGTCGGGAGAGTTGGCCAGCAGGATTTCCACGGAAATAATCTGCTTACGGTAATCTTCTTGGCTTGCCTCCCTCCCTGTTAAGGTCCGCCTTCCACGAGGAGGACCTTCGGTCTCTTCCCCGTGTATACGCGGTGCAGCGTCCTCGCGGAGAACTCGTTTCGAATCCCGGTCGACGCCGGGTTTTCCCCCGCCAAAAATCTTGCTCTTCCGTTTTTTCCTCGATTTCTCGATCGCGAGAATCGAGGAAAGTCTAAGAGAGAAAAACGCCCGTTTTTCGAGAAGAGGACGTTTTGGTATTCGATTTGGAGAAAGATTTCAAAGATTCAGAATAAGAGTAAGAATCAAGAGGAGAAATACTTGAAGAAGAAGAAGAGTCGATCATCGTTAATTGCGATTTTTGTCATGCGCGATGGAATGTAAGACGATGCTCTCGTCGAGGAAGAATTGGAAGAGAGACGAGGGTAACGTTGACCTACACGAACGAAACAATCTTCTTGAAATTCGAAGGAATCGGTAAGTTTGGCCGATCGTGGAGAAAGGAAGAATGAAAATGGAAGAGGAAGAAAGGAAAAAGAAGGGCTGATCCCCCCTCGAGGAAAGGAGGATAGAAAGCAACCCCGTTTGAAATCTTTTTTTCTTTCGATCGAGAATAAAACCAATCCAAGTGAGAGAAAGAATCTCGAAGATGGTAGCAACGCACACACACATATATATATATATATCATGGCATTTCCACGGGAATTAAGTTTTACGCTCAATGAACGCGCAACAACAGCGTCCTTCGGGCTAAATTGCATTCAATACCACGGCTCTACGAAGAAGAAACGTTTCCTCGTGGCTACGCGGAGATGGAAGACCGCACCACCACCTCTTCTCGAAGGTATTCAACCAGACGCTCGCGGACAGGTTTTTTGTTCCCTCTCTCGTTTCGACGACACCGGGACGCGATCTTTTCTCTTCTCTCCCGTCCTCGAATCCTCCTCCTCCCCTGAAGGGAACGATTTCTGGAAAGTCGCGACGCGACGCGACGCTCCTGTCCCGACACCTCGTGACGCGATCGCAACGGTACCATCCAAGGGGTGGAAAACACCCAAAGGGGTGGAAAACACCCAAAGGGGGAAGAGATTTTTGCAATAACGATCGCGGTCGGAGGTAACGAGCGATGGTTGAAATGCATATTTGGTAAAATCGGTTAATACCCGGGGTAAGTACTTTGCTGGCTTTTTCTGGAACCCCATCGCCGCGCGCGCCCCCTCTTCACGCACAGACTGGCACGACACGGTGGTGCTACACGGTGGTGCAGCACTGCGGTCCATTGTGGACGCCCGTAGCGAGCGAGTGCTCTTCAGGAACAATGCGGTTGTGTGCAAACACTCGTGGAAACAATGCGGACGGAACTTAACTTTCCGCGATAGCTGGAGCTTGCCTCCTTGTACCGTATACACTACTCGGTGCAAATTGTGCTCCCAGACCACGGTTGAGCATTACGTACAACATATTTCCTTCCTCGCGAGAAATCGTGGAATATATCGTCCAATCGTTCGATATATATATAAATATATCAAACAGAAACAGCTATTCCTGTATTTTTCCGCTCGCGGTTAACTTGGTTCCAATCCGATTGCGGTTAACGCTCGAACGTTAAAGAACCGCACATCGTGTCCACCGCGGGTGGAATTCACTTTGGAATCCACTTAGGAAAAAACGGCGTAAGATAAAAGGAGCACGTGGCCAGATCGAATCCATCCAACCGATACGAGATACGATCTTGTCCATGATATTCGAATATCGGATTCTTAAGCGCGTAAGCGCGCAACCCCTCGAGACGCGCGCACACGCGATACGCAATAATGGGGATTTAACAGTCATTAGGGACAACGTGCCAGTGTATATATGCATATATATATATATATATATATATAGATATATATACGTGGATTGGTAACACAAAGTGTTTGCAGTAGGGCCGAACTGACGAAGGGGGCGAGGGTGGGCGGAGGGGGATTGGGACGGGAGATCGATTCACCGGGGGAGAGGGTGGAAAAGGCAAGCTCTTGGTCTTTCTCCTCGGACCGCTGCCGCCTTTCCGCTAGAGCAGCGGGGTCGTAGACTACGTCGAGCACCCCTACTCGAGGGCCAATCGAGTGGCGACTTGGGCATTTTGTCCACACTTGGCCGCCTGTAACAAGTGCATTGTCCCGAACTGCACAAAGATAAAGAGACTTCTGGCCGGCAGAGGCGGAGGCCCGAGAGGATTCTCGAGCGACCAGCTCCCCTCCTCTCTCTCCGCTCCCCCTTCGGAGTTTCCACGATCTCGGTTTTAATATCACGACCGATATGTAAATAAGTGCGCCGGAGTTTGTAAGCGCAATAGGGTCTGCCTCGAAAAATCGAATTTTCGAGACTTGGAGCGCGGGAGAAAAATTTTAAATGTTGTTTGTGGCGGTGGTTTTTAACGGGGCAAGTTTTCGGAGGAACGGAAGAAAGATCGGGGCAGGGAAGGAAGTGGAACAAGACGGAAAATATTGGCAACGGATGATTGTTTGCACGTTTCTCAGCCCATACGTTTGGCCGGGTTGTAACGAGTGCTTTGTGGCTAGTGTAAAGCGCAGGAGTGCACAAAAGTAGAGATTCGCGCCTGACTTACTTCACGAGGACCCTCGAAAAGCAGCCGCCCTTTCTTCGCTGGCCTTCTTTTCATAGTGAGCCAAATTTTAATATAGCGTGGCTGGAAAGAGGCGCGTCACGGGGAAGCTCGCGCTTTATGGATTCTCTTTCATCGGGCTGAAACTTCATTTCGAAGGAGGGATCCCCGGCAAAGAACGTAATTAAACCGGAAAAGTTACCGCGGTTATATTGTTTCCAACTTATCCACGCTCCACGGACAATTTTGCATTTCTCTGTTTTTCGATACGGAAAAGTATGCGGCGAGTAATCCGTAACGTTTTAAACGATAATCGATCCGATCTTTGAAAAATCCTCCTCCTTTTCTTTCATCGAATACGTTCATCGTCACACGAGAGATTTTTGATTTCTTTTTTTTTCTCTCTCGATCACAACTCGTTGTTGTTCAACTTTCGATGACGAACGCAGCGGGTCACGATACATTCGCGACAGTCGTCGAGCGGATATTGGAAGGGTAACGCGGGTGTTCCATCCATATTTGCGCGAAGGAAGTTTCGCTCGAACGATCTCACGAGCACCCTTCGCACACCCCGTTGTTCCTTTCAACGACGAAACTTGTTGTTTCCGTCCCATCGAAACGGAAACAATGCTTTATTAAAGCGGGTTTACCGATGCGAAATTTCATTTCGCGCGAAGTGCATCGCGCAAGAGATCTACGCGATATTAATAAAGTCGAGAAAATTTGCCTCGAAATAGCTCTTCGTCATTCGCATACGCGAGTGTGTCGATCCTCCGATTATTTTCGGATCATCGGCCTTCTGCGCCGCCGATGCCGTCATCGCTCCATTGTTTTTCACGTCGCACATGTTAATTACCGGATGATTAGCTTACCTTAATCCGGAACACATGCGAGACGGCACCCCCTCCGCCCCCCTTCCTCTTACGAAGGCAAATATTCCGGACAATATTCCGTTGGACAGATGCGAGACGCGATAAATGGGGAGGGCGAGTAAAAAGAATTAATAAGCCTCTCGTTCGGTGGTGGCGCGAGGTGCGAGATCGAAAAAGCCTCGAGAAGGAGAGGAGGTGGAACGCGACCGATAGACCGGCCGTTCTTGACTTTGTAATCGGAGAGGATAAAACGACGGCTTAAGTAGCGTCGGCTAAATGTGAAACGGGAAGGCTACGACGAACACCGCCCTTTTCTTTTTCTATTCTTCTTTTCCTTTTCTTTTTTCTTTCCAAGTCGCTCTCGGTTTTCGAGAGGAAACCACCTCGCGGGGTCAACGCGGGAGGAGGGGGGTTCAGAGCGCACCTTCGAAAAAAGTGGAGTCGTGTTGCATCCTCCTCTGGATTATCCTTGGCGCGGCCAGCTGCCAACCGCGTCGCGTCTTATTTCCATCTTCCGCGATCGGTTTCGATATTATCGTCTATATATATATTCAAAGTATATTTAGGAAACTTTCCATTACATACAACATCCACTACTTTCGCTTACAAAACGAGACGATAGTTAACTCCTCTCCATTAACCCCTCCCCTTCCCTCTTCGAGTCGCCTCTCATATATATATATAATCGGTGAGGAGTGTGTAATTGAAAACTTTTACGTAATACGAGGCGAGGTTTGAATATATCAAACGCGGAAACGATCGATATTAAATTGAATACTCACCGTGAAAATTCATGCGCGTCCGCGTCGTGATGTCGCGAGTGTCGGGGCGAACGACATTAACCCCCCACAAAGGGGGAGAGTATGGGGAGGGAAGAGGGAGGGTTTGCAATTAGCCTGTTGCGAATACGTGGAATGTGAATTTTGAATTTCAGAAGCAGCGGATAATTCCTAGAGGCGGAGGCGGTTCACGTGGAATCGGCCGCGAGGCGGGGGGGCGGTCGAGGTGGTGGGGGCAGAGGGAGTACTGATGTGGCCGAACAGCCTCGGCGGTACTTCCGGCTGCAGCGGGGGCGCCGGCGCCACCGATCTCGGGGGCCTCGCCGCCTCCACCACCTCGGCCTCTGATCTCTTCGGGCCCGCCGCTTTCGGGGCGTCCGCGGCCGGGCCCTACGGCGCCCTCAAGACCAACCCTTACGTCAGCGCCCTCGGTATGCCGCCCATCGAGGCCCTCCACTCGACCATCGGATATCCAGGGTGTACTCCCGCCGGTGAGTCCTACTACTGTGAGTGCCCCCTCATTTCATACTATTTTTTCTAGATTCTGTAGACTCTAGTCTCTGTCTCTTTTCTTCTTCTTCTTTTTTTTTTTCCTTTTTTTTTTTTTTATTCTTTATTCAGAAGTTTCTTAAGGATAAGGTTAAGAGAGGAAGGTTAAGAAAGGAAGGAAGGAAGGAAGGAAGGGAGGGAGGGAGGGAGGGAGGGAGGGATTGAGAAAGAGAAAAGGGAAGAAAAGGATTCGGGGTGTTTTCTGTTAAAGGTAATCCAAGAAAGCAGCGAAGGGAACGGACGACTTTCACCCGGGCGCAATTGGACGTTCTCGAGGGTTTGTTCTCGAAGACCAAATACCCGGATATATTTATGCGGGAGGAAGTGGCGATGAAGATCAATTTACCGGAGTCGAGAGTGCAGGTACGTGGAAGTAGCGAAGGAAGCGGCAAAGGAAGCGTGTTCCCTCTTCCACCACGGTGGTGGTGAACGAAACGGGGGAACGGAACGGTACACCGGCATCGGGCCGGCCGGTGTTTCGTTACGACCGAGAGGGGTAGTCATGCACTGTCGGCATGCGGATAGTCGCCACGACCCGTAGACGTAGGAGCATCGATTTATTGGATGCTTGTGTTTCCGTGGATAGCGTGGGTGTTAACCAAGTTAGTAGTTCGCCCTACTATAAGTGTCGCTCGTATTCCCTTGTTAGAAAAAAAAAAAAAAGAAATTTCGAACGAATTCCACCGCTGCCCCCTCCTCCTCGAACGCTACGTTCCGGGATGTTTCGGTCGCTTTGAACGATCGAGAAAAGGGAAATTTCCGTGACAAAAATGGTTGAATGGCGAACGCAACGATTCATGGAATTGTTAACTCACCACGGTGGTGTCACGAACGAATTCGTGTCGTCCGAATCGACTTTCGAAGCCAACAGGCACCGAAAACGTGTCCATGCATATTCCACCCTCATCACGGGCGGAAAGGGCGCGCCGCATCCGCAATTGCGGGCCAACGCACCTGGCCCCAGCCCCGTAAATGAATTGAATGGGTCCAACCAGGCCCATAGTCTTCCGCACGTTCGTCGCCGACTGCAAAACCGGAGCCTTCTCCTCTCCGGCTCCGGTTTTCTCTCTGACCCCTGCGCGGTTTTTCAATCGAACGCGGAGCAACCGGTCAACGCGGATCGAACCACCAATCGTCGACTACTTTCGACTCAACTCCGAACACGAATCTTTATTATTATTTTTCCAATTCGTTCGTTCTTCTTCTTCTTCCATAACATTCGATCGGAACAAGTGATATCGTATCGCGACGATATTTGGAGGCGACGAGAAAAAGTGTTTAACGTTAAATATGGGAGGATGGAGAGTTAAAAGTGGAGAATTCGTATAGAGTTTGTAGAAACATACACCGGGGAGCAGTTTCAGTGGAAGAACGCGGGTTGCTCGTGTCGTTCCCCAGAAAATCCGTAGAAACCCAAGCTCACCTCTCCGCTTCTAACATTGATCGCGCAGGGCTTCTCTAGGCTCCTCTCTCTCTCTCTCTCTCTCTCTTTCTTTCCTTCTCTCCCTCTCCTCCTTGTCCTCACCTCCCCCTCTCCCACCCTTCTCTTTATCTCTCGTTCTCTCTCACCTCTTTATTCTCCCTCTTCGTTCTTCCAGCCGTTTCGTTCACCCGCCTCCTTCTTTAAAGGTCGTTCTCGCGTTCTGGAAATCTAGGAGGGCGAACGACGGATCGAAGGACGAGTCTGTCGCATACTTGGACACGAAAATAGCTGATAGTCATCTGTAATCGAAGTAAAATCATTCGTCGGTTATGTAATAATCTTTAATATCGGCTTTTCTTCGAAACCGATATTTCGGTAATCAACTCAACTCGATGATACTTACTATTTTTAATTAATATTGGCGCGGTGAACGAGAAGAAGAAGTTGGTATATATATGTATATCGTATCACAAGTTTGAACGAATAATCGAAAGTTAGGGAAATTATAGCATTAACGGAAGTTTGTTCACACGTCAACCGTGTTTACTTTTCGTCATTATACCGGAGGGCACGTACGATACGCCAGATTTCCGCTCGTGTTATCGAAGCCATCCTCATTGGTAATTGATAGTTACGTCGGTGCTACATTCCCTTATAATTGGCTATTACGTCAGCTTTGTAAAAGCTTTGTACATCATTTCGTGCTCGTTTCCTAGTGAGACACCCCCTATATGTACTTTACTGCGTTTCAACGTAAAAATATATATTTATAAAAGCTGTTTTCAATCATGTGCTAAAAAAGAGAGAGAGAGAGAGAGAGAGAGAGAGAGAAAAAGAAAAAAAAGAGAAAGGAAGAATTCCAATAAAAAAAAATGAAATGTTCCGAAATGTTTTATATTTATCGCATAAATTACATGTGTTAATGTGTGTTTGTAGGTATGGTTCAAAAATCGCAGAGCCAAATGCAGACAACAGCAAAAGCAACAACAGCAACAACAGGACAAAGCTCCAAGATCCAAGAAGCCTTCGGGAAATCCTAGCAATAATCCGCCCTCTGGAAAAAGTCCTTCGATAGCTACCACACCCACGCCTGCAGCGGCTGTACCAGCCACGACACCTCTGTAAATATCGTTTACATTAATACCTTTATCTTACTTTTTCCGAGTTAAAGCTCGAAATACGCCGTATTCATTTTCACTTCTCAAGTTAAATAAACAAATAAATTTAGAAAAAACAAATAAATTTAGAAAAAAATTTAAGCGATAAGAATCGAACAAATTCATCTATAACTCCAATTCTCCAATTCTTTTTCTATGGTATAATAACTAAAATAACTAACATTGGAAATTTTATTGTGAACAACTCTGAATGAATATTATATATTATATATATTATATTATATATTTATATATTTTTTATAATTTTAATTTGTGTATTTAGAAGCGGAGGTACAGGTGGTTCTGCTGCTAGTTCTCCGGCTCTCCTGAGGGATTCTCCGCAATACAAACCAGCAGGAAGTGCAACCAGTTTGCTCTTGGCTGCCAGTACAACCCCACCAAGTGTAAGTTATCGACCAAGACCTTACAGTCTTATTACGAAGATCTTTTACCCTCGGTGGATAAAGAGTTTTCGAACAATGATCTTTTTTAGTTAGGGGGAACGGTGTACAGTAGTGGTGGCAGTAGCAGTAGTATTTGGAGCCCGGCTGTCACGGAGAGCGGTGGTGGATTTCCTAGTGACCATCAGAGGTTAGCATGGACAACAACCACCTCTCAACAGCAATGCTACCAAAATTATTCTTCTTATTATACCAACATGGACTATCTCTCCCCTGCCACGCATCAATTAAACGTTGTGGTAAGCCTGGATTCCTTTCATATTTAGAAACTCGTTATTTATATCGGTCGTAACCTCGTATCGGGTGTAACCTCGTTGAATTATTCTTAGGATGGAGGAGGCAGTAGTTTAGATAATACATGGAGTAAAACGAGGGACGAGAGCGCTTCGTCCTGGTTTTATAACAGCGCCGGGTGGGGCGATCGCAAGTGAATATCAAAATCGCCAATTGATGGAGATATCAAGGCTACATATCATCGACAATAGTTAAGCGGACTTTGAAAAATCGATGGCAGATTGTTACAATGCGAAATATGGCCAAAGACAGTCCTCTTAATTTTAAACATATCGTTGATTCGTTGGGTCTCGATGTTTTATCGTATGACCCGATGAAACGAGAGTGCCATACCCATTCTCTTCTCAAAAGGATTCGCAGAGTTGAAATTTAAATCGAGAGTAATGCGATTGAAATGGATGGAACGAAGGAGTGAGAAACGAGTTATTCGTTTAAAATTAGCTATTTCGATTTAATAATTTTCCCCTTTAATCAGGTTCATCTTTTAATTTTTACGTGTCTGATTTATCGTCTCCTCGTGTTAAAATGTGCAATTTCATAATAATTTTGACTGCAAATACGAGATATTCCTTTCCTCTGGATATATGTTCGTTTGTTACTATACGATCCTAGTCATCTCGTAAAGTAATAAATATCCATAAAAATATTTTGAAGATTAAAATCGTATTAAGAAGAGGGAATGGAGCGATTTACATTATTTCATCTTTTCTTCCCGCTTACGGTTAGTGTTATATACATGTGATACCGTTTATATACATATGAGAATGCATCTGGTGAACGTATCCTATTGTGCGAGTCACGAATTTTCTAATTCTGCACTGTGCCAAAGGTAATCGTTTTGCGAAAGGACCGAACCTTTCGATGTCGATCAAGGCCTCTGATGTATATAATATAAATAGCCTTGTGTCCTTCAGAGGAATTAACGTAGTTAGATAGAATTTTGCAGGAAATAACGATAAAATAAGGTAGACCCTTCGTTAAAAGATTTCTCAGCAGAGGTTATGTATGTATATGTTCGTGTACGAATACTACGTCATATACTATGTACATAAGTTATATATAAATATATACATATATATATAGAAAGACACGCTGATCTGTCTGTGTACATATGTACCATTTTTCTGAAATATAATTATGAATTGATAGGGAGATCAATCGTTATCCGAAGATTACTATTATTTTCATTCTAACACATCCGTAATCTAAATCATTGTGGGGTTTTAATTCATTTCATCTTGGATATTATACTGTACTGTAAATAAAATATTCTCGAACATGCTCACGATAGAGTGCCGCTAGAGAGTTGAAATTTATATTTTCGATTTTACGATCCTTTTGATCAAAGCCAGTATAAGAAACGAAACTTTTCTTCGAGAAGTCCCACAAATACGAAAGTTGATGTACGGATTAAAAAAAAAAAAAAAACAATATGTAAAGTGATAAAAAAAAGTATATAGTGAATGTAGGGATGTAAGTATATGATCGTTTAGATTGTTATTATAAATAATATTGACGACAATTATGATTAATTATGAGGGAGACAACGACGTACGTGTAATAAAATGTATGAGATAATATATCGAATTTGAATTGTAATCATCGTGATTTCTCCAATTTGAGCAATATCCGAAATTCCTAAAAAAAAATCTGATTCACGCGATACGAAATCTACGCGATACGATTCTTTGATCGAAATTTTTTGAATTTAAAATAACGCGCGCTAATCGTGGACGAGAATCACTTTGTACGTGTCGGTAACTCGTATTGCGCGTCAGTTTAAGGTGCCATCTGGTGGTAAGAGCGTAATTCAGGGCATCGGCCGTGAACCCCGTGAGTAGGGGTCGCTAGGACGCGGCGTGGGTTAGTGGCCCTCAGTATCGCGCGTCGTTTCGTGGTGTTCGGTTCGTTCGTTTTGTTTCGTGTAGTGTGTTCGTTCGCAAGCAAGCTTTATACGGAAGAAAAATAGAATGACAGCGACGTGAAGATTCTGAAATACGGAACGGTCTTCCTGCTCAGTTCCTTCCCGAGTGAGTTTCGAACCGAACGTTTCTCCAATTCGAAGCCAACGAAAGGATGCGGCGTCTCGACGTAACTACGCTTCTGCTTTGCCTTCGTGAGTACCGTATATAATATAACGCACATAACGACGATTCGAAGGATTCTTTTCCAACCCTTTGGTTCATTCCCCAGTTACGTGCTGATGAATCACAAAAGGAGGACGAGATCAGAGATGAAAGTGAGATACTATTATAGATGGAAACGATTTCGTCCATCGTTCGAAATCGTTTATCCCTAGTCTTGTAACGGATCACCGTACTTCGTTCCTTTCTTCTTTTACCGGCTGCGCAATAATTACGGTTAACTTGATTGCCGCGAAACAAATGCATCAAATTTGTTTATTAATTCCCCTCCTACTCCAATTTTTTATTTTATCTCGAACGTACGAACGTGTAATTAATCCATCGAAATATTTTTATCATCGATCGAATCCTATAATTCTCGATTCTTATTCCAATTCTTAACCGTGTTTTCATAATACGAGCAATAACAACATATACGTATCGTATTTCGTATAAACACGACGTGTTTCCATAATACGAGAGACGGTCGTAACTTGTTTTTCTTTTATCGAGGAAAGTAAGAATCGTTAACTACGGGCATCATTTGCGAACGTTCCCGTTTCAATGGCAACAAATTCCTGAGTCGAAAGATCAAAGAACGAAGCGGAGGCTCGGGCGGCGGAAGCGTATCGGAGTATTGGCTGAAAATCGAAAACGGACGTAAAGCCGTATCGATGGCCCTTTAACACTGTCGGCGAATTCTCGTCGGACCGGCCATTCGAAAAAGCGGCTTGTAGCTCCAATTTGCAGTCGACAGTAAGAATCAGCCCTGCCGATCTCTCTCACGTGCACCGTTGCGAAATTCGGGCTCACAGACTGAAGCGACGATGTGTTGTTGATAACGATGCCAATGTCTCTCTGATGTTGATGGTGGTAGTGGTGGAAGTGGTGGTATTAGTGGTGTCGTTGGCAGCGTGGTGGTAGTCGGGTGGATGCTGGCTACGGTATTTCTCCATCGTCCATGATGCCGGCCGGTAACCCACTGCTACCGCCTCTCTCTTTCTCTCTCTCTCTCTCTCTCTCTCTCTCTCTCTCTCTCTCTCTCTCTCTTTCTCTATCTTTCTCTCTCCCCCTCTCGGAGAGGAGAACCGGTTCGATAGCCATGCACACCTAGAAAGCGAATATACGCAGACTCGGCGGAAAAGGGGGGCCATATTACGTATCCACCTACCTAATATCGACGGTAACGTCGTATATGTGCGACTGCACGTGTAATTAGTAGCGATGGCTGTGAACTGGAATGGGATACCGCGTTAAGGCGGTGAACAGTGAAGAAGGCAAAGGGTTTCTTGGTCTGTACACATCGTTTGAAAAATGCCAAACTGGTTTATCGCGCTCGTATCTCTGTTTACGAGCCAATTCACGAGAAATCCATGCACTTTCTACTACTATTTTTTTTTACTCCTTTCATTCGAATTGTACCAGATATAACTATCCATTTAAAGATAGGTTCGAAATTGATCTGCCAACTTGGAAACTTGGAAACCTCGATTCAACATTTTTGTTCGAGCCGAATTAAAATTCAAGAATCGAGTAGCGAAAGTTGGATCCGTTGGATCCAAAAATATCGCCGCAGTCCAAATAGAATCCTTCGAAGCATGGCGCATCGGGGGTTTGAATGTTGGGTCGACCGGTGGAAATTATTTCAGCAGGATGGATGCTTTTTCTGAGCCGGGTTGGTGGAAGCCGCGCTACCGATAAAACCGTTCGTGTTCTTAAATAACGATCCAAGGCGGGTCGAGGCGAAGCAAGCTGGCGGCGAGGCGGCGTATAAACAGGATCGCGCGGAACTTTGATCGGTGTCTCGAATCGGGTTAGCCGCGTGGCAAGGTGAGACGAGACGGAGCAGAGGTAGGACGCGGCGCGATGCACACGGTGGTTCGTCGGTTGGTTGTCGATGGATGGGCCGCGTCACGAGCGTGAATCCCCCGCTTGGCCCCACTTTTCCTTTCTTTGCCTGTTGCCCCACCGGCCACTTGCCTATTCATCTTGGTCCGGTGCTCCTAATTACACGTCTCGGGTTACGGATGAGAACGAACGTCCCGCCGTTCGGAGACGTCCTGTGCCCTGAAAAGGGGTACCAGTACACTCGTGCTTTTTTCCACGCTCTCTTCCTCTCTCTCGCTCTCTCTCTCCACCATCGAGGGTCCTCTCCTCTCTCTCTCTCTCTCTCTCTCTCTCTCTCTCTCTCCGTCTGCGTCTTTTTTACACTGGTTGCCACTAAAGGCCCTTTGTCCGTGGCCCGGCGTGCGCGGTTATTTTATACTCCGAATGTTATTCAGCCTCGGAGTTACTTGAAACTCTTTCTCTCTCTCTCTCTCTCTCTCTCTCTCTCTCTCTCTCTCTCTCTCTCTCTCTCTCTCTCACTCGCTTTCGGTTTCTTTACCCGTGGCCGTGTATACACCTCTCTTTATCCACGGGCGCTGTTTCTCTTTCGTTCTAAAGTGTTTCTGAAACCGTGACGCCACGCGCAGTCGGTGAACGCGCGCGACGAAGAAGGTCGTTGGGAGCGGTTGGGAGGGGGGGTCGGTGGTTGGTACTACTAAGAAAAATTGTATTAGCCCTTTGATCCCTTCGCCGGTGGAACGACTCGGAAGAGAGCGAATAAAAAACAGAGGCAGCGCGTAATGCGGCTATTTACGCATAAAGGGCGAGAACGACGCGCTTTTCTCCGGGGAACGGGCGACACACCGCGACAGGACGACCCCTTTTCGTTTCCAAACTTTCCACCTTTCCCTCTTCCTTCCGAACACCACCTCCATCGCTTTTCTAGACGTTCTCGCCTCATAAAGTTCACGAATTATTATTCTATCGAAGAGGAAATAGAATTGCTAGAAACGCGTAAACGCGTGCATCCTTTCGTTCCTCTTTCGTTTCTTTAAAATTCCTCACGGGCTTCCTTCCAGAAATTGTTCTCGTTCCTTAAATGTAAACGCTTGCCACGGCAATGGAAAATATTCGAACAACGTTCTTAAATATTCGAAACATCAAAGGAACGCGTGGACGCGATAATCAGAGAGACGCAGCTAATTCGAAACGGGGAGATCGAAACAACGCAAGCAAAAGAGGGGTCGTTAGTTTTCGGAGGATGTCATCGCGACAAATAGATAGCGTATCGTTGCTTGATAGCGGAATTTCCTGCGGCGTATATTTCGACAGGAAATGGCTCTTCTGCCGGTGCTTCTTTTCTCCCTCTCCCTCTCTCCCTCTCTTTCTCTTGGTCTGTTTTCCATTGGGTTGGCGGGCCGTTGGCGCGGAGCACCGCGTCTGAAAGGGCGTAAAACGCTTCGTCGCGGGCAAAAGCAGCGTTTGATGACCCGCGTGGAACGCAAGAGACGCGGATAATATATTTCGAGCAGGCGACGAACGGCCCGATAGGCTTCTTTGAAATTTGCCCGGGCGTCGTCATTATACATACAACCACTACAGCGAGATGTGCCGTGCCACCCTCTCCCCCCTCCTCCCCCCCCCCTCCCCTCGGCCGCGCTCGATCGGCCTTTCCCGTTCGACGGATATTCCCTTTTGATTCATGAATACGGCCACGTGAATACGACCCTCCACGTGTGCCGAGGATCTCCCCTCTGCGCGCTGCGTCCGATTTTTCAATTTTTTACACGAGTACCCTCTCTATCGCCCCCTCCCCCCCAACCGGGTCCCGATCGAGGATCCTTTCTCTCCTCTAGGAAACGTCGCGGATCGCTTTGTCCCCGCCCATTCGCATTTCCGCCCACTCCACCTCCACCCTTTCAATCATTTTCACACGCGTCAGTACGACGTCTCGCGATATCCCTAGGCGGGAACGCGCCTTCTTTAACGACCCTACTCCTCGACTTGCACGCGTCTGGAAATGGTCTAACGAGTGGCCAAACGCCTTTCGCCGCATCGTCTCTTTTGTCGCTCGAGAAAAAAAGGAAAAAGAAGAAAAAGTCTTCACTTTTCCTCGCTGTGAACGCATATATATATATATATATATATAACAGTAACAGCCATTGCGAACGTTGTGTTCCTCGTAAGAAATTTTTAAGGGAGAAACTTTTATTTTTAACGACCCGCTATAAGAAATTTTCAAGTGCAATCCGTCGCAATCCAACATGCGACGCGCCACTAATTCGTGGCCTCGCTTTTGTGTCGGTCACCGCGAAGCGCGGCAGAGTGGCGTTACTTTTTCACTGTCAAAAGGGCGTCGCTACTACTACTACTCGTCGCCGGGTGATCCTCGCTCGTCTTCCCTCCTCCTTATCCTCCCTTTTCCACGTTTCCTTGGCCAACACTCTCACTCTCTCTCTCTCTCTCTCTCTTTCACTCCGCGTTTTCTTCCCCCTTTCTGTTCTTTTCTTTCTTCTCCTCCTTTCTCCTTCCCCCCTCCCCCCTCCTTCTCCTTCTATCTTTCTCCCTTTCATTTTTCTCCCTTCCTTTTTCCCTTTTTTTTTTTCTTTCTTTTTTTTTTTTTTTTTTTTTTTTTCTCAAATAAGACCCCCGACTTGCTCGCGTCTTGTCTCGACACCCCGAGACGAAGAAAGGAGACTCTCACCGGTTATTCAGAATCGTGAAAAACGTCCCGAGAGTGTGAATTTCACGCTGCTCGGAGCGTCTGGAAGGCGGTATTCCGGACACAATTTGCATCCGGAGTTTTCTTTCGAGAAGCTCGACCTACGCCGTGGCCAGGATCCCGTGAAAAATCCGCCGACTCTCTCTTCGTCATCGTGAATTTTTCCCTCCTCTCCCTCCTCCTTCCCCTATTTACGCGAGACACGCGAACTTTTTGTCTGCATACGCGAACGCGATAAAACACGCGCATTCTCCCTCGCGGATAAAATTAACGCAACGCGCGTTTCGAGTTCATACGAAACGCATGGATGCAAGGAGGGATGTATCGGGATCTCGGTGTCTTTTGGACTTTTATCCGGGTTCATTAGCGGCCTCGGTCGAAATTTGCCGGGAATACACGGTCGGCCGGCTCGTTAATGGAATCGCGGGCTCGTTCACGGTTCGGAATCTGAAGATGCCGGTAAATGGGCAACTCGACGGGTCGGCGAGGAATCTCGAAGAAGCTCGGAAAGGCATCCGGCTAATGATTTTTCGATTTTAACGAGCCGGTCGTTAACGCGGAGGAGAGGTTTCCTTGCCTCCTCGGCGTGGCAACGAAAAGGTTTCGGTAACGAGGCAAGTTCCGCTCGACGAGCTTGTGTACAACTTTGCTTCTTTCCTTCCGCGAGTGGGACAGAGGAGGATCGAAGATGAGAGTGATCGCGCGCCGCGAATAATAATCGAAAGGCGGCGTAACGCTTCTTCCCAAAGAAGAGCGACCTCTCTCTCTCTCTCTCTCTCTCTCTCAATCGGTAGAAAATAACTCGGTTCGCTTTGAAGTTGGGAAGGGCGGAAGTGGATCAACCGAGCGGAGGCGGAAAGCGCGTCTCTCTCGATGCTCTGCTGTCCGCTTTGGATCGTTCCGCTCCATCTTTGTCGCGTATGGAAATGCCTCTCTACTCTCTCTACGCTGCTCTACGCTGCCGGGAGCCGAAAAATCGGAGCCGCCGGCTTGTGTAAACGCTATAAAGTAGGGGCGAGCAGCTGCACCCGGCCAACGGGAGAGGCAACGGGGCGCGAGTCGGGCCGAGAGACGAGAGGCGTCCGCCTCGGGGAGAAAAGTAATCTCGAGAGTAGGTCGTAAAAGCGGTCGTGTTTACCCCTCCGGGAAGGTTCCAGGATCGGCCGCCACGAGCGGCCGCGCGCATTCTTTTTTTAGGATTCGAGGCCGACTGTCGCGGATAAGCCGAGGAGTCGAGCCGAGGACGAGTGCTCGCGTTGAAAAAAAAAAAAAAAAGAAAGAAACGGGAACCTTCTCTCTTCTCCCCGGCTCCCGGCGAGGAAAATTTAACAACGGTGTAGAGGGAATGGGAATGAATCGTTATTATCTCTCTCTTTTGGAGGAGGGTCGCGAGAGAGAGAGAGAGACGAAGTCGAAATTTCGACGAAAATTACGTCGTGCGCGCGGGGTCGAAATTGATCGCGGTGGAAATTACGGGTTCTTCTCCTCGGATCTCGCCGTCTCGCCTCTCGCCCTCTCCGGGATTTTAAGGGTTAATATCGGGCCAGAGCGAGATAATAATAGGATCCGCAAAGGACACGGTTGGAAATTTGAAAGTGACGGAAGGATCCGGGAACAGGGGCCCCCTTTACCTGGGGCCCCCGCAATTAGACAGGGTGGCTGACGCTTATAAGACAAACAAAAGAAGAAAGACCGAACTGGTAAATTTATGGCTGGGCATTATGGGTGTGCCGGGCTATTCTTGTAAAGGTTCGAGCATACCGGCGACTAATCGATTTCCGTGAATCGGCGGAGAAATTGGCGGAGATTTTAACAATAAGAAGATTCCGGTCGAGCGATCGATCGATCTCATCATTGTGCCACCGATCGTTCTCGCGTTCGTTTCGAAACGTTTTTTCGTAAATCGGGATTTTTGAAAAAATTCCTCCCGTAAATAATTAACCATCGTTGATTTCTTCGTTTCAAATGATTCCTCGATCGAATTTAACGTCAATGAAGAAGAAGAATTATATTCGTAGTCGTAAACATCGCAACAGAGATATCACCTATTTCTCGATCTCTCAGAGAACGATATACTACGTTTAACAGATATTCATCACATAAATAACCAAACACAAATAAGATTCGTGCAATCGCCTTAACTCCACCTCTCGCCTCGTAGTATCGATCACCAACCGTGAACATGAACTCGAAACCTGCGTTATTTCGAGTTCACCAATGATCATTATACTCCCGTGAAGGTAATTAGCTACCTCTCGAAAACCCGTTAAGCGTGAACGGGGTGAATGCGTGGACGCATTTGGACGTGCCGTTGACCGTGTGTGCACGTGTGCACCTCTCGCGTATTCCGCCCGTGGAAACGCAACAATCGATTTTCACCCCTCCACAAGAGGGTGAAACGTGGAAAGAGAGAGAGAGAGAGAGAGCGTAGTCCGCATAGATACGAGCAGAAACGCGGTCGATGTTTGCGAAATCGGCGATGCGATCGGTCGACACACGATACCGAGTTTACGCTACGCCAAATCGAGAGCGTGAACGCGTTCGCCGCGTGATTTTTCCTTTTTTCCTTTTTTTTTTCTTTTTTTTTTTTTTTTTGAATCCATCTTTTTCCACAGCACACGGAAGCGGTAACGGTTCTCTTGACTGAAAAAAATATGCTCGAACAGATGATTCTTGTTACGATTCTTTTTTCGCTTATCCCTTCTTTTCCACTGGATATATGTATATATATATATATTTTATTTTTTCCATTGCCTGACCGTATTCCCTCTGGCTGTCCATGTCCGCCTTTTGCTCCGCTCGCGCCGCCGCGCCAACCCTCCCTCCGGTACAATGTGGTTCGTTTAATTTGCACGGCCGACTATTTGCAGCTCGTTCCCAACGTTTGTTCGCGGACGTTGCTCGAAAGCGAGTTTTTTTCGTGTACGATTTGCTCTCGAACGATTAAAAACCGGCCAGACTCTCTCTCTCTTTTTATTTACCACGGAAAAATGTAACTCGGAACGAATCCATATTTCTTCTCTTTTTTTTTTTCTTTTTTTTTTTTCACTTGTTCCAAACTCGAAAATAAAATAAAAAAGATAAACGTCGTAGATAAATCGAGCGACATGCGTCGCGATAATAAGATCAGGAGGATTCGCTTAATTAGCTATAAGAGTTTAAACAGTTTAAATCTCGTTGCCCTCGAGGAGAGGGCATTGTTAACGAGGTAATGTCAACTAATAAGCCCCCGTTCACTACGAGCGGCAGACGTCTTTCGTCCGTTGCGCGGTCGACAAACGATCGGATACGGAACGGAAGAACACCTGTCGCGTATTTCATTCGGAATATCATTCGGAATATTATCTTCCTCCCTGGTTCTTGTTGCTCGTCGTCGGATACCGGCAATCGGCAAATTGTGCGGAATTACTCCAGGGACGCGGAGTTCTTTCTATCCGTTTGTATCCTGGCTGGTGGAAACACGTCGAAACAGTCGGGGAGAGGTGGGCGAGGAGTGAAGAGGAATCGCGACGAAACGAAACGAAACGACGACAAGAAAAAAAGGGAAAAAAAGGGAGAGAAAAGAAAAGAAAAGGAAAAAAATCGTATTAAACGGTGTGGCGGAGAGAAACGGGGCGGTGGCGTGCCAGGGGAAAGGAGAGGCTTTCCGCTCGTGGAAATCAAAGGACATCGATACAATAACGTTGCCCCGTGCTAATTATCAATCAGCTTAATGAGGCCTCCGTATTCACATCGTCTCGCTCTTGTTGCCATCCTTGCTTCGAAGCGCTCCCTCGTCGCTGTTTATCGTTCGATTGTTACGCCTCTCCACTCCGATAATTAGTGGATTTTCTTTCTTTTTTTTTTAATAATACACGTACACGGCCGTGTTGCAATTCGATCGCGCCCTTTGCGATTTCGTACCCGCGAGGTGTCGAATCGTGAAAGTTTCGAGATAGAAATCGATAATACCGTTCCCCGTTTAATTGAATCTGTCAATGTTTCCCAATGTTGTAGTCAAAAAGCGTGGTTGAATTGTCGGGACGGGACGAATTACGGAATTATGGAAAATGATTCGTGAAGCTCATCTGCATGCCCTTCTCGGATCAAATTCCACGCTCTCGATTTTCCGAATTAATTTGAATAGATTGAATTATGATTACGATTTAATCAAAGATTAGATGGTTGCAAGGAACGTATCTTTTTTCGCGTAGTATCCACCATTTCATCTTGTGCTCTTTATAAAGAACTGTTTATAATATACTCATATACAGATAATTATAAATTTTAAATAAAAACAAAATTGGTATATATCTCACGAATATATTAATAATCTAATATCTAATTTTCTCAAAATTTAAAAATAAATTTAAAAACTATATATCATATCGCGTGGCTAAAACCTCTTATCTTCCTAAAATCTATCTATAAATCTATAATTACACATCTATATCGTACATCTTTATTCATATTATTTCGATTTGAATTATACCTATACTCTCTGTGTGTTTTCGCAGTAACGTCACAGGTATTCGGCCAGGACGGCGACCTTTACTTCTCAGTGAGCCCCGGCGAGCACTCGGTCGCCGAGGGATCCCCCGTGCGTCTGAGATGCGAGGCGCAGCCGAGTTCGCGGGTCAAGTACACGTGGAAGATCGACGGCCAGCCTCTGGCGCCGAGCCCGCGAAGGCACCAGGACGGTGGCGATCTTCGCATAACCAGGGTCAATCGTATCCTCGACAGTGGAAACTTCGTCTGCGTGGCCACTCACGAGGAAACTGGATACTCAATCGAGAGTTCGCCTGCCAAGATCGACATCCAATGTAAGTCCCAACTTTTCCCTATTTCTCTCTCGCTCGCTCGCTCGAGAGAAAGAAAGAAAGAGAGAGACAAAAATTAAATCGAGATCGTCCCTCCGTTTCGAAGAAACGCGTTTAACTTTAACGAGTTCTCCCGCGAAACAGAGAGAGAGAATGGAGCGGAAAATACACACGCGTGTGTTACTATGATTAATTCGGCATTAAGTCTGCTCCGTTCGAGGCGTGAAATCGCGATCGATTGAAAAAAAAGAAGAAGAGAAAACGAGAGAGAGAGAGAGGGAGGGAGGGAGGGAGAAAGAAAAAGGAAATACGGGTTGGCGATGTGCCGCCGCGTTTCCAACAGCGCGATAATGGAACGCGTTTCTTGGTCGCAAACACGGGAATTTTTTTTAACGAGGGCTGCCACGCCGGCATTTAATTAATAACGTGGTGATGGTGGGCGGGACCATCGAGAGATTAATCGCGTAAGTCCTCGAGAGTGTCGCGCCGTCCCGTACTCGCGTGTCGCGTACTCACCATCGAAACCGGCAAACCGATATAATCCCGCGTTCACGGTCGCGTTGCTTAATCGACAAAGTGCGAGCGACGGTGGTGGGCGCAACAGGGATGAAGCGCGGGCGAGGAGCAAGACGAGGAGGAAAGGACGGGGTACGAAAGGACAGTTGGCGAGACCAGCGCCCGGGGGATTCAAAGCGGCGGATTTCACCGTGGCTATGTTATTCTCACGGCACTTTTTAATCGCCCTTTCTCCGCAAAAGCGCAGATCAAACGCCTCCTGTGCAGAAATTACACGAGCCGAACCAAAAGAGAGACAAACGAAACGGACGGAGCGAGCCTTGAGCGCGAGCGCGATGGGGGCAGAGAGAGAGAGAGAGAGGGAGAGAGATAGAGAGACAGAGAGAGAGAAGGAGGGAAAGAAAGGAGAGCGCGAAAGAAGGAAGGGAGGAAGCAAGCCGGGATAGGAATCGATTCGCGATAGCCTCGGTGTATAGGCAAACTCCGACTTCCGTTTACTCTCTCTGTATTCCATCTCTTTCCAATTATTCGCCAGCGCGACATTAATTAAGCAAGATAATTTGCTCTCGAATCGTGCTGCCCAATATGGCGTCGATCGATGCCGACGGTAGCCGCGCTACCCGTGCTCGCGTTTTTAACGATTCGAAAACGCTCGAGGGTTCGCGGATTACGAGAGCGCGGGTAGGTAAAATAAAAATTCGACGACGAAGCGAAGCGTCGTGGTCGGTGATGGTGACGTCGTCGTCGACGACGACGATATCGACGACGCCGATGTCTAGCGTTGCGAGACGGGGAGCGACGAGTTGGTTGAGGGGGCGGATGGGGAACGAGGGGAAAAAACGAAGGAGAGGAGAGAATACGTGTAATGTTACTACCGAGGTGCGAGTTGGTACCATTTTTTTTTTTTCCTTTTTTATTTTATTTCTATCTGAAAACGTACAAAATAAGTGTTCTCCGCGCCGTAGGGCGGAGGGCGAACGAGTGTTAAAGCGACGAAAATAAAATAAAAGTAAGAGAGAAAGAAAAGAGAGAGAGAGAGAGAGAGAAAAAAGTACCAGCGCTGCTGGTAACTGAGGAGGCGCGAACCGCGCCGGTGTGATATTGAATGAATAATGAAGAAATTTGCAAAAAAAAAAAAATAAAAAAAAGGAAAAAGTACATATTATTAAATCGGGAAAGCGTGGAAAGGATGGGGAAAGAAGAGAGAAAATAGTGGTGAAATGGTGGCGGGGGTTGAACGGGGGGCAGGTGCGGGAAACGACGGCAGGGCGTCGTTAGCGGCCCGGCACCTCGTTATCATGTATCGTTTCGTAATTATTATTACACGCTGCTGCCAACCTGGTGAAGTGCACCGGGCACGAGTACATTTAGCGCGTGCTTAATACACCCGTCGCCTGCCTCGATTCCTTTTGATAATTGCGATAAATATAATAATGATAATGACGATGGAACGTTTTCTTCGACGTACCACCGTTTTTCGCCTCCTCCTCCTCCGTCGACGGGATGAATTTCGTCTAGGCATCCCCGCATTTGTAATCCCCGTATCCAATACAGGAACGTACAGTGTGCGTAGTACCCTTTTCACTCGCGGATTCGCTCGAATCCGTCCCTCTGTGAAAGCGAATTCCGCGATGGATGAAAAAAAAACGCTTAATGGGGACCATTAGAAATTCACCGATGGGAATCACGTCTCTAAACTCGTTTTAATTCTCGTTTCGTTTATCAACAACACGCGTATTGCCTCAATATCGTCAATATCGATTTTGACGAGCGCGTTACAACTGATAACCGATGATGGACACGTGCCATCGGTTACGCACGAATGGAATTTCTATTGAATGTGCGCGATCCGAGAAATTCGATTCCAGATTCGCGATTATCCAATGCACGCACATTCGATGTCTAATTAAATCTCCGTCCGATGCGAACGATCCGTGCGATATTATCCCGTGTGGGTGGGGGATTGGGTCGATGATCCGGTTCTTTTCGCGAAGGTCAAGAAGGAGGAGTGGCAACGTGGACGATCGTTCGATTCCCTTTACCTCGCTGTGTCCTCGGTTGTTTGCCACTTGTACATCAAAGGATTTAAAAAGTTGAGCGTAAAAATATGAATATATCCTCGTCTAATGAGGAGCGTGATGCTACCGGTATGCTCGAACCGGTTCCGGCAGTTGAAACGGGTTGAAACGTTTCCCTGGTTAATGAAATTTACACGAAAACGAGAATACGAGATTATTATTCGATTTTGGAACGAACGTAGAGTGTATCGTACCCGTTTTGGCGAAATTTCGCGATACGGTTTCAATTTCCAGAATTTCACACACAGTAACACATTTGGTCCGGGCCCCGTCTTCCACGATTTTCGAAAGCAAGCGTTACGGGCTCATTTCCGTGTTTAATCCTTTAAACACGCTTTAACGCTTGAAATCTCTCCTCCTACAGCTCGGATCCTGTACACGTATATATCGCTCATGTACGTACAAATTGCATCCTGCATCAATTTTCATTCCATTAAATACAACCGCCCGTCCCATTTTGTTTTTCCCGCGGAGCGGAAATGCGTTTCCCGCGTTTCCGTGAAATTTTCGAGCGGACGAACTGTCACACCTTCGTCGTTTTCGATTTTGCGCGTTTCGCAGTCGCAATCCCTATTAACGGATCGTTACAATTAGTCGACGTGGAAATAAACGTTTGAACGTTTCAATCTTGAAACGATAGGAGGGACGTAATTAAACGCGGGAGAGAATTTCGAAATAATTTCGCGTTATCGAAAAACGAGAGACGCAACACTCTCCCTCTCTCTCTCTCTCTCTCTCTCCAACTCTGGTTTTTCCACCCCTCGAAAGGTCGAGCGTCTGACGAGTGATCTCTCGAACACGCTCGGCGATGACGAGCTGGCCCGCCGTGAATATTCCGCGTACCTCGACGTGAAAACCATCCCTTTCCCTCTTTTAATTTCCAACCCCTCGGCTCGCGGCCACAGACCAGGCTACGAGGGACGGACGCACGGGGGGTAATAACACGCCGAGGAGGATCCTTTGTCCAAATAAAAAAATAACATCTCGCTTCGCGACGAGGAAGAGCCTGCTGCGATACGCGACAATGGATAGGAAGTTGTTCAGCCTCGAGCTACCCGGGATGCGAGGGGTGTGAGAAGAGAAACAGACAGAGAGAGAGAGAAAGAGAGGGACAAGCTCGGAGGAAGGGGGGGCTGAATTCACCTCGACTTTACGCGAGATCCTATCTGATTTATACGTACGTAGAATCGAGAGCGCTAACGCCACGCCTTCCAAACGATATTAAACACTCCTAGGAGACCGAAACGAGTTATTCCATAGCTCCTCTCTCTCGCCTTCTTCCCATTCTCTACGATCGCGGGGATCGAATTCGAGGGAATCGTAACGAATTCGAGGGAAGATGAAAAGTTAGGGGAAAGAGAGGAGAAAGAAAGAACGTAATCTCCATCTCCTCTTCCCCTTCCCTCCTCGCCAGCGAGCGTCCGATGATACGCGAGATTTAAGGGCATCACCGCGAGTGAAAGTGTTAACGCGATTCCAGAGACGAGTGGATAATGGGATCGAAAAGTGTCTTCAGCCACCGTGAAAAATCCTGTCCCCCCTAATAGGGTTGCGGCCCGCGATTCACGATCGCGGGGATCCGAGCTCACCTCCCTCCCCCCTCGTTTACCTTCCCCGCGGTCTCGACCGGCAATTAGACCTCACGCATTGTGCGTCCTCGACAATAAGCCATCGTTCCTCCCTCCGGAATCTCATTTCCTCCGGACCCCGCCACTTTTCGATGAGCTCAACGAGCGCTTTTCCCTCGGCTCCGAAACTCCATCATCCTCCCTCGTCGCTCCTTATCCTTGGAGAACAATCGCCAATGCGAAGACCGTTACTGCTCCTCTCGCGTTCTCGCGTGTTTAATCGGCCTCCTTTCGAGATCCAACCCTTCCCAAGAATCCTCGAACTGTTTATATCGCGTCTCTTTGCGTCGATCCCACGATATCGTATTTGCATACGTTCTAGGCGAGGAAATGATGGAAGAATGCGTAGCCATCTAATTCACTCACTCGTCACTTGCACGAATTAATCACCGTGGCTAATTTATACGCGATGGAACATTTAATTGTCAGTCAAGATTCGAATAGAAGAAGAAGAAGAAGAAGAAGAAGAAGGTATACGTACAAGGAACGATCGAATCCCACACGCTGGCCCGGCTACCCGTATAACGCGAAGGCCAAATGGCAATTAGGCTTCCTGCATTGTGCGGATCGCAACAATACCCATTTTTCAGCGAGTACTCATCGATGGGGAAGAAGCCCCCTGGTATATAATACCACGATGAATTTACCGGTTAACGCATGGATGGGGAGTGGTTTGATCCAGATTCATCGGCACATTAATCGACACCTGGACGATAAATCATACGCGCGGGTTATTTAACGGCCGATGAATCGAAATTTCGGGGGGGGAAAGGGGTGAGTC